TTATTAGATCTACTAAAGTTCTGTTTATGTTATAATTGTTATTGTAACGTTCTGTTTGTTATATAAACAATTAAATAAAGTCATACCTACTCAGGCATTTATACAGTCACCGTTTGAGTGATGTTATTTGGTACCGGGGAAAAAAGAAAATTTAGAGATCATGAAAAAAAGATCTTTCAATAAGCGACTGTGGAAGCACTACTAGGCGAATTCCTTTCAGCTTTCAAATAAAAATATATCAAATCGGTGCTTTTCGAATTTTGATTTTTTTGGGTTTTTTTCTCAATATCATAATCTGAAACAGACTTTTACGTGTGGAAAGTAGCAGGAGCATTTACTGGACAAGAGAAATTGAGTGTACACATGTAGGTATATTAATTTTTAAATCAATATATAAAAGCAGGCATTTTTACCATTTCAATAAAACATGTCTGCACGTTTGCAGAAGTATTCATCAGGTACACAAACGTTTTAGTATACATTCTCATGGAAAACAATGCTCTTTTATGAGTTTATCTGCTATATTAACAGCACAAAGTATTCCAGACCTGCTCGATTGGAACTCAACAATAATCGACAATGCGTTGGAGCAAGGTGACAACATGTACTTAATTGTTCTAAGAAATGGCCAAATTCCTCAGGTTGGATATTTGTCTGTGGACAATTTACCTAATTATATTCAGTGCAGTTCATTTGTAACAAACAAACATTTAACACTATATACCATTGATTTACCAACTGTTGCAAGGCCCATATTTGAGGCATAACATAATTACACAAAACACTACTGATCTGCCCATTGTGGTGGAGCCCATCGAGGCACAAAATGTTATTGATCTGCCCATTGTGGTGGAGCCCATCGAGGCACAAAATGTTAGTGATCTGACTATTGTGGTGGAGCCCAATCGAGGCACAAAATGTTATTGATCTGCCCATTGTGGTAGAGCCCATCGAGGCACAAAATCTTAGTGATCCGCCCATTGTGGTGGAGCCCATTGAGGCACAAAATGTTAGTGATCCGCCCATTGTGGTGGAGCCCATCGAGGCACCAAATGTTACTGATCTGCCCATTGTGGTGGAGCCCATCGAGGCACAAAATGTTATTGATAAAATCGAGGCACAAAATGTTATTGATCCACCCATTGTGGTGGTGTCCGTTGCGACAAAGTATTACTGATCCGCCCATTGTGGTGGAGCCAATCAAGGGAAAAAATATTGTTGAATTAACATTAAAGAAAAAAATAATACAACATTCTCTGATACTCAACTTTGGTTTATAAACTATGGGAAAGATTATCAAGGGCTTGTGAGAAATGAGCAAGGACTAGAACATCACTATTTTACACTTGCTTCAGCTTTATTAAAAACGTTCATGCATGACAAGTATACTCTTTTAATATTAGAAGGCTATATGATGGCCTTGATAAATAGTGTAGACTCGTTTTTCTATCTTTTTTACCCTCATGCTAGAAATTATGCTGGCATGCCTGACCCTAATGGCACTGCTGTTGTCATGAAATTTGCAAGTCTCACTGAATTAGAGAAATATTTATGTTTGTTGTTATGTTACCTGCAAAAAACAGTCTAGAGAAACTCAGTCTATGAAGCAAACTAGACTACAAATAGCCAGGGAATATAAGAAAAGAAAGCAAGGCGCAGAAACCACTGATCTAATAATACACTGGATATAGCTTCTATACCTATCAAAAGTGAAGCCAACTCGCAAGCGTGCAAATTTACTTCCGGATACCCAAAGGAGCGATAATTAATATGGCGTTATATGGAGAAATGTGATGTCGAAGCAAATATTTTGTAAATATGAGCCGTTTTCGTAACGCGATCATGCTTATTTGTGCTTCTTATGAAAGATGAGTGTCTTATGATTAATTTGTAGTAAAATTGCTGCCTGTTACGCTTACACATCGCTCTAGAATTTGTTTGAAGAGTGGCATGTTTATGGTCCCGAGTTGTGGTTTATGCTGTCTACGAGTTTAATAATGAAGAGGAGTTTTAAATAATAATGAAGAGGATTATAATACTAAACTGCTTCTGGATTTTCTTCTTATCATGGTGAGGACAATATTCTACGCCGTAAGAAATAACGGTTTAATACTTGTTTTCAAAGATAAAAAGAGCATTTGAGTTTACAACATTGTGTGTTAACAGTGTTATTTTGCCTATAATTCCAACTCTGTAATCTAAAAACAGTAACACTGCCACTGGAAATGTTTCGTAATATGTGATATGTTGTTCGTTTTGTTATTTTCTTTATGAATCAGTGTATAATTATAACGACATGTGGTATAAATATTACAGGGTTCCCACCTTTTAATCAAAGCCCCGTTTACACGAGCAAATTTTATTTGACAAATTTCGTATGTCAAAGATATTTTGCTGGTGTAGATGATAAATTTGTGACAAATTCATTGTGACAAATGCATTTGATCAAAAGCTAGCATGTTAGCTTTTGATCAAATGCATTTGTCACAATGAAATTTGTCAAATAAATGTGCTTGTGTAAACGGGGCTTATATAAAATCCAAGGAATTTTCCAGGATTTTCAAGGACCTTATCAATTTTCAAGGACTTTCAAGGACCTAGGAACTGGACAAATCTTTGAAAATGGCCTAAGGCTTGCTACTAAACTCGAGGAAAGCAAGAATGTCATGTACTATACTAATTCATTGTTCTTAATACAGTAAACTTGTTTTGGACTATCATACTTAATTTTTATTGAAATTGAAGAAAATGAGTAATTTAGGCATCCTTCAACTATTACCAGCCCAACTGAAATAAAATTCCAGGACTTGCAAGGACTGTATCAATTTTCAAGGACTTTCCAGGCCTGGAATTTTTGTTCATATTCAAGGACTTTCCAGGATTTTCAAGGGCGTGGGGACCCTGATATTAACCATGACTGAAACATAGCTTTATTTTTTAGGCCTGTAATGAAAGAAAAGACATTGAATAGAATGAAAAATCTATAGATGCTGTTTAGAATTTTATATTAGCTTGATATTTATTAGTCATATTCCAAAAAGGAGTGGCAGACACAGGGTCATACCGAGCTGGATGGGTGTGGGTATGGCACCCCCACTTTCTGAAAAACTCTTTGTTAATTAAACAGAGATTATGTTGAAAATGTGACTTGTCCATATATTGATTGAAACTGGTCAGTAAATGGATAAAAATGTTGAGTTAGTCTGTAATGTGAAAAGGCTGTACAGGAACATCCCCCACCCAGAGTGGTCTTGGTATGTCACTGACATTTGGGAGGGTAAACTGGGGTGACTCCTTGTCAGTCTAATCAGTGCCGGAGCTAGCCATAGCAACTGGTTGTGCTGTGGTAATAAATGCAAACTTAAGCAGTCCAAAGACAATAAATTTCTAAATACTTGAATAATTCAAATTGCTAAAAAATTGTATAGCAAGACCAGTTGCTGTAATGACTTAGTAGCTCTGCACACCATTACATTTATCTCTGATAGAGTTTCATCCAAAAAAGGTTAACATAAATTTTGAGGAATGACAATTCTGAGAATTGATATGAAGCAACTGAATGACATGAGAAAATCAGCAACAAAAATTTATCTGTCAAATATTTTAATATATAAGTGTCTGCCACTGGTTCCAGAGTACCAAGTTTGTTTTTAAAAAAAAATATGTAATGTGTGTGTATGATATTGTCACTGAATCAGTTTATGAATAAAGTTAATAAAGATTGTGATGAATTTGCTTGAATATTATATGATTCCACATGCTGCATTTGCAAGATTTCCTGTGTTTTTTTTATATGGTTCTGGTAGGCAACAAGGCAAACCTTATGTTGCTTGTTTGCATGCCGTCATGAATGTATACCCTACAAGATGGTTTAATTATGAAAATATTTGTACATACAAGCTAAAGTGCCATAAATACGACAAGTATTTTTCAAGAACTTGACAAACATATGTTTGATACACCTGTGGATGACAATCATACATTAAAACTGATTAAGACAATCTTGCAATGCTACTGCAACGTTCGTTTTCACCATCTTGCAAAATCATACACAGACAAGTTATCTACAAATAGAGTTAGGAAGAAGTTAACCAAATTAGTGTTATTTGAACATCAGTGAATCCTTCACAATAAACATTAAGATTTATGCCTGTATTCTACAAGCTCACTGAGTGCATGTGAAACGGAAATCGCATTTCTGCTGATCAATGATAGAATCCTTTCTCAATCAATAGCAAGACTTTTAGTAAAATGATCAAAAACAAACTCTCAAACGAGTGCAAATTTATAAGTCTTGTAATGGTGATAAGGTGATTGTGATCTCCCACTCAGTGAGTATCAGTGCGCTTTTAGAATACAGGCCTTAGATTTCTATAGCAAAAATTTACTTGAATAATTCGACCACACTAATGCACTTGTCATCGGCTTCCTCGAGGGGTCGACCCCCGGGCTGACCACGGGATGTTGTGGGAGAATACACGTAGATTGCAACAAAATTCTTCCCCAGAGTCGGGAAAATCATAACACTTTGTTCTACCACTTAAAAAGAGGGTGGGGGAATTGCTTTTTTGAATTTTACCCACGGGAATATGACGGGGAAATTTTTAAAGGAAATATTTTCCAAATATGTCGGAAATTAAGGAATTGCGTGGATAGCTTCGTTTCCAGAGCTTCCATATTGACAGAAATTTCCTTTTCAAAGGAAATTTTGGCTTTTATGAAAATGAAGGAAATGTGAAAGAAATTTAAAATCGAAGGAAATTTGAAGGAAATTTAGGAAAAAATAGAAAATTTGAAAGATTTTTCAAAATTAGCTGAAAAAAATCAAATGAGCACATGTTTTTAACCACTTTTTCTGCCATGATTTTGCATAAATCTACATATAAATGGCAAAATTCGTAAAAGAAAATTTCAATATTTTTGAAGGAAATTAGTCCAAATAAGGAAAAAATAAGGATTTTTCAATTTTTGAAAGTGGAAGCACAGTTCATTTCTTCAAGATGGCGGAAATCACTAGCGTGGAAAGTGGCGTGGAATTGCAAGATGGAATCAAAAAGGTAATTTTTTAAAAATCCTTAAATTTTTTGGGTTAAAATCATACATCCACCAACTTTCTAATCCACTTTCAATTCAGTATGAAATTACAAATTTGGTATTTTACATATTTTAGTATGCAAATATATTAAAAGTATTTTAAAAATTTGGTATTTTACATATTTTAGTATGCAAATATATTAAAAGTATTTTAAAACAAGTTTGCAAATGTGACTTCCTGTATATTTGAAAAAAACAACAAACAAACGCTCTTGATTCTTTATTTTAAACAGCATTTCACTGATTTGAATACAAGCATGGTACAGTTAATAATACATTAATATTTATTTATAATATATTTCATTTTGTCAAATATAGGTGTTGTTACAGTTGGGAGACAGAAAAAAATCATTAAAATACATGAAAGTGACAGTCAAACATTCGAGCAATTGATTATTGAAGTAAAAAATTGTTTCAAAATTCCCGAAAATACAAAGGTTTATCTTAAAAAATTTGACTGTGAATGGAACGACTATATTGAAATTGATAACATAGATGACGTTACTGATAAAGACAGGCTAGTAGTGGAACAGGAAAGTATTAGCATTGTGGCAGAAAAACAGGTAGGCTTCATAATTTGCTGAATCGCCATGGGCAAAGCTGATTTGGTGTCATACACACCCAACTAGTATAGACCTGCCTCCCTGGCAGTGAATTCTAGAGCAAAGAATGAATGAAAATGAAGGGGAAAACACACAAGAATATTACTATAAACAGAACAGTCTTTGAAATTAAGCGCATCTGTTTGACCACTGTACTATGTCGGCTTTCTTACAAATTTCTCATATTTTACTGGTTAAATTTTTAACAACCTAGCAAAATAGCAAAATTCCTTAAACCTATTTTGATTTCAAGACAAATAGTCACAATGTAGAAATTAAAAAGTACCTTTGTTTTTGTTTGTCAAGGTCCAGAGTAATCAGAGTGTGCAGTATTTGTCCCAAGGAGGTGAATGTTTTATGTGGTTTGTTACATGTATTTTTATGTAAGGAAAATTGAAATGTTTCGCCTTTTTCATTGCTACAAATCCATTTTACACCATTAGAAAGTGGAGAATTACCATAGAAATTTATAAAACTTTTATTGATAAATTATCATTTTCCATGTGAGTTATATGTTGTAATGTTTACTTTTAAAGTAGAAAAGACGCAGTCTAAACAAAGAACATTGGTTGGGCAGAGTGGGACACTTTCCCTTGGAGAAGTTAGTGAAGTAAGTCATAATAAATGTATCGTTAATCTGTGTCTGTATATTATATGATACATGTAAAAATTTTACTTTATCTTTAAATTTAAATTCTCTGAAAATATTATTCTATTATTAGGTTAATGAAGTTAATGTGTCTGATGAGACAAGCACAGTCACAATCGACTCTGCATATCTAGAAAAGGAAAGTAAAATCTATGGTCGAAGTGGCAATTTGGTCGATTTATCAGAGTACCAAAAAGCAGTTAACGATGCAAGTTTGGAATTGGCAAAACAAGATTGTTCATTGTTGCAAGATCGAGGAGAGTTGTTTGCCCGTGCAAGAAAGAGAGTTGATGATGAAGGCTACAGTTATAAAAAAAAAGTTTCTCGATCTACTGCCTTTGGAAAACAGACTACCCAATCAAAACAAACGAAGAAACGTCAGTACTTGCACAATGAGATGAGAAAAGATCAAATTCAAGAGTTATCAGGCGCAATTCAAAACCACAATGAAACTATTAGTCTTTTGGAAAAACAAAAACAGAAATATTCGAATACAGAAAAGTTCCTGGAAGCTGCAGAAATTAATAAGTCAATTTTGGAAATTCACCAGGAACGACAGTTAAAAACGAAAGAGTTGGCCAAGTTGGAAAAAGCTGAGACAAAATCAAGAAATTCCAAGAAGAGAAAGACTTCATCTACTGAAAGAAAATCCAGTAAATCAGGAGCACTGACAGAATGGCTATTCAGTGATGATACCTCAACTCAAAGAAAATCCAGTAAATCAGGAGCATTGACAGAATGGCTATCCAGTGATGATACCTCAACTGAAAGAAAATCCAGTAATTCAGGAGCATTGACAGAATGGCCATCCAGTGATGACACCTCAAATGTTATTGATCTCGATAAGGATGATGATAATAATGAGTTCGAGCAAAAAGATGTCGAGAATGTGTTGGAAGGTGATTCAATGAGCGAAGTTCAGGAAGATGTAGAGGTATCCTCCAACCAGAACGAGCATTTTTTATGACTAAACGTGTAGATAGAAAGAATGCTGTTGAGTTTATAGACACTGACTATGCCGACTTACACTCTGAAAAAATTTATTGTAAATATTTAGCTTATGTTGGGAAAAATTTATCAGAGGATGTTAAACAAGAAGACATGTATATATCACACATCAAAGATATTTCCTTATCGGAATTTCAAATTGCACGAAAGATGTACTGTTTAAAAAAGCATGGCGATGTAGAATCATGTGCCACCTGTTCAATCCTAATCGATGCTGCAAAAGTTGTGGAGAACAAGTGTGTGATACCAGTGAAAAATCTGTTTTGTTTGCAGTTTGATTCAGCTCTTTACAAATCTGATAAAG